TGGATGCTGAGCCATCCGGTGGCCATGTTGGATGTAGAACCATCTGGCGACCAAGTTGGATGTAGAGCCATGCAGCGGCCATGTTGGATGTAGAGCCATCCGGCAGTTTGGGTGTTGACCTGAGGAACAGGAAGTTGGTGTTTGGGTCCAACATGATGAGATGTTCAGAACGGTTCTGTGTGTGTGTGTGGGGATACAGGAAGTGGAATGATGAGTTTAAACCAGTTATCCCCCCCCCCCCCCCACACCACCACCACCACACACACAGAGCTCCACCCAGACATTTATCAGCTCCGTCCAGCCTCCAGCAACAGATCCAACGGTCCTCTCTGTGTGTGTGTTACCTTGTAAGGCCCATTTTTCCAACTTATACTACATTGTGAGGACCAACTGCTCCTTATGGTCCCCATAAGAAGAAGTGCTGTTGGTGGGTTAGTCTAAATGAATGAAAGTCCCTGTAAAGACAGAAAGACAAACGTGTATGTATGTGTGTGTTTCTCAGTGTGTGTGTGTGTGTGTGTGTGTGTGTGTGTGTGTGTGTGTGTGAGACAACAACCTGCTCTACACAAGCGGCTTGTGTTTTGCTCCGTCAGCCGGAGATGTAAAAAGTTCTTAGTTTTCTGAAACTGAAGGTTCTGATGGGTCCATCAGAGGTTCTGGTATGAGGAGCTGTGGGCAGAGAGGAATGTCCGTGGGTCCACAGACTCACAACAATCCACTCTCTGGTTCTGTGCACGTTGAGCTTTTATTTTGAAACTTAACATTCGTGTGTCGGTCCAGAATAAACGAAAAACTCAGAGTCGCATTTATAAGTTTTAAAGTGACAAACACACAACAACAGAGACACATCTGGAACACAACACATCTGGAACAACACATCTGGAACACAACACATCTGGAACAACACATCTGGAACACAACACATCATCAAGGAAACACATCTGGAACACAACACATCATCAAGGAAACACATCTGGAACACAACGCAGCCCCAGGGGAGACAATAAATCAAATAAACTAAATGTTTAAAGACTAAACACCAACAATCGTCTGAAACTGGAGAAAATCAGAAAATGACAGAAACTGAAGCAGCAGAACAAACTGGACCCTCAGCATGAAGCTGCCGCCGCCGTGTCGGTCTCAGCTGAGGAGTTTTTGGTCACGTTTGGACCAGAACCAAAAGACAAAGTGACTGAAGGTCCAGCGTCCTCTGAAGGAATGCTGTCATCCCAGGGGTGCAGCTCTGAGTCTGGATGACTCTCAGCTACTACCACCCCAGAGTCCGGACCAGTCCCTGTAGAGCCGGACCAGTCCCTGTAGAGCCGGACCAGTCCCTGTAGAGCCGGACCAGTCCCTGTGGAGCCGGACCAGTCCCTGTAGAGCCGGACCAGTCCCTGTAGAGCCGGACCAGTCCCTGTAGAGCCGGACCAGTTAGCAGCATGTTTGAGGTCGAGCAGCTGTGGCGGCCATCTTGGGTTAACTCTGAAAGTTCATCAGTCCACGTCATCCAGTGACACGTTTTCTTAAAAATCTGTTCCGTTCTTCATGAGATATTTTACTAACAAAAACAAAACTCTGACCCGTTAGAACGAGACGTTCTCGTCCTTCTGTGGTGAGAGACGAACAAACAAGAAGCCAAAACAGAATCAGTTAATCACAAAAACAACCGTTTCTAATCCCTGAGCAGAGAGGCCCATGGGTAATGTAGTTCCATCAACAGCAACTGAACCACATCTGGTGCAGCAGGACCCAGAATCGGTCTGGTAGGTCCGGTCTGGGTTTTCAGAGAAGGAGAACCTCCTCCTGCTGCTCCTCTAGTCTCCGAGCAGCACAGAAACTCATGAAAACAGCTAAAAACTAAAGACAGGATCAGATTTGTTACTTGATTTGTTATTTGTTACTTATTTCTCTTTTCTGTTTTCTCCTCTCGTGTGTGTGTGTGTGTGTGTTTCAGCAGCTGTTAGCGACACACACACACACACACACACACACACACACACACACACACACACA